CCACCACCACCACCACCATCATCATCATCATCATCATCATCATCATCATCATCATCATCATCATCATCATCATCATCATCATCATCATCATCATCACCACATTTCTCACAGACATTCGGGCACCATCAAAGTACAAAGTAAAATATTTTTCCTTTTTAGTTCCATTGATTATGACCCGACACCTATAAGAGGATTTGAACAAAATTAACAGGAACTCTTTCAAAAACATTAAATAAGCCACCTAGCAAAAACCAGTTTTAGGCTGAATATCCGAGCTACTATAATATTACCATGCCTTTCAATTTGCAAAACTGTGTAGACTATAATAGTCGTGTTCATATGACCTTATGCAGATGCGAGCACCCACCGTAAAGGTCTTACTATAACTTATTAGACATTCTTGTGTGGCTATTTGTACACTTAGGTCTGTCATCATTGCACACAGAAGACGTAAGGTCGATTCCGCTTGGAGATATTATTCTGGCACTCGTATGACCGTGTGCAGTTGCGAGCGCCGTAAAACCTTACTAAACCTAAAAAAGGAGATATTATTCTGACGTGTATCCGTTAGTCTCCTGGGATGTTGTCCCCCACTTAGCCTGAAATGGTCCGAAAAGATAAGGTGGAAGTGGCCTGTCTGCTAAGGGTCTAACATGTTAGGAATATGCGAGGAAGGGTGGGGGGGGGTGAAAAAGTGTCATAAACTTTGTTTTGCATTCTACACTTTTTACTTAACGTTGTATTTTTTTTTCTTGATCTCAAAGTACGAGCAACACACAAACAAAATCCTCCTCACAACTGAATTGTATAATATGCTTTGCCGAATGTCTTTGTGATTTCGTTTAATATTTCACTTACTAACATAATATTTGTTATTCTATACATTCAGAATGTACTTACTTTCTGGTATGAAATGGTATCGAAGATTGCAGAAATCTCATCCGGGTACGTGACGTCAACAACAATAGGATGTGTGGTCAGAAGAGCGTCATCCACCATGGCCCTATGAACATCGTTTAGAACAATCTGTGACATCTGTAGGGGAGAAAGAAAAAGTTTGAGATGTTAACAGTCTCTTAATATGTCCAATGGTTTTTTTTTCAAATGTTGAGAAGCGGTGATGCTTTGTTAAATTATGCCACGAAAAAAAGTACCTACTGTCCCATAATCGATGACCGCGAGAAATCAATTAATTTTGCATGGATCTGCACAAAGTTTGTGAGAAATTATATTTGAATAATCGGACGTAACAATCTGTGCTCAAATTTGAACTGGTCAGACGAGCACCGCTGTATCAGCCATGTCTGGGAGCAACCTCGAAAAGGCCCTTAACGTTAGAAAATGAACCCTTCCTGAACTCAAGTCTGAAAGGAAGCTTCAAGCTTGTTTTTGCGGGGAGTAGGAGTTGATTCCAGATCTAGATCTAGTGCATACTCTAAAAGATAAATTTCGGGATGGTGCAAACCGTTCGAGGTAAGATGATGTCTGTCAGAAAGCCATTAAGGAAGGGAGTTAGCATTAACAAAACGATGTGAAATGGGAAATCCATTCGCGCGTCAGTTCCGACAACAGCATAGAAGTCTGTCCCAGGACGTAGCCGTGAACTAGGTTTGTCAAAGCCCCTGACTTACAGAATCTGAAGGCATTATTTAAAAATGAAGTCTTATCACATTTTTGGTCAACCAAGAAATAACCTCAGCCAAAGTTTTGGGGTGAAAAAAAAACAATGAGTGCGAGGGATTTTAAAGTCAAGTGAGACAGAGAGAGAATTTCGAATAGTCTGTTTGCTTAAGCCACACGGCTCATTTCTACGGAGTATTGGAAAAGTTAGTTTTGGATTTTTGTGGCCTGGCAAACAGTATGACAAAGTTTTCCAGAAACATGACAACATATTATGTCGTTTTAAAAATGAGTATGGAGGCGGATTCTTTTCTCGTTAAACAGTTAGTAGGCCTATTAAGTTTCAGATGTGTGTATACTTCCTTACCATATCCCATGCCGGTTGTTTGGTAGAGGTCCCCACGTACTGCATATAGCTCGCAAAACCCTTGTTGAGCCACACGTCATTCCACCAGTTCATTGTGACCAAGTTACCGAACCACTGAAAGAAAAAAATGGGGTGGAGGTGGGGATGAGGGTATGGGTGGAAGGGAATGACTTAAAAATAAGAAAGGGAGAAGCATGATTTTCAGCCCTTTGTTAAATGTGAAGGTTGTGAGGTAGAACCTCCGAATTTAGCGCTCATTTGCAATACAACCAAACACATTTCAGTTGACCAACAATTATCCTATCCTAGTTTATGAACCATTATCTGAGACACGAACGCGATGTTATAGTTCATGAACCACTATCTAAATCACCCAAGCTATGTTCTACTTCATAAACACTATCTAAAAATGACACACCCTATGATCGGCATGTTTGTTGTAGCGATTAGGCGCTTCCCCATCGCACGCAGGAGACCCCAGTTCGATCCCCAAATTGGGAAGAAATTGTATCCAGCACTTAAGTCTCTCCGCTGAAATGTTGTATTCCTCTTAGCAAGGGTTGGCCCTGACAGGCGTGGTCGAAGCCCGCCTCCTACGTAACCTAAATTGTCTCAACAGGGGCGTAAAGATGTAAAAATTATACAATAAGAGCCTCACCTGATGTGCTAGTTCCTGAACTACAACCTCGGCTACCCTCTGTTGTGCGTTGGCTGAGACACTATCTGGGTCACACAACAGCGCCGTCTCTCGGAACGTGATGAGGCCCCAGTTTTCCATGGCGCCGGACGAAAAATCTGGGATCGCAACCAAGTCTGAGGATCAAAAATTGAGATTGAAAGTATTTAGGTTTAATGTCCATTGCCCCACTGTCAGGTTATTTCAGAGGCAACACATACGAATTCAACGTCCATCTCTGATAGGATCGAGTCAATACTCACTATACTTTTACTTTACTTTTACTTTTGCCGTTAAGCGTCGAGGGGAAGATGTCGTTTTCTATGGTAGGCCAGCTCCGCAGCATTTTCTGTTGTGATTTGTGATATTATGTTTTCTGAAGGTTTCCTTGACACCTTCAATCCACCTTTTGCGTGGCTTTCTTCTTTCTTTATAGCCTGAGTGCTTGGTGTTGTAGGCTCTCGAGGTTGGCTGATCAGGTGACATACGTAACAGGTGGCCCAACCATTTTTTAATTCTCTGTATTTCTACGTAATGCAGGCAGGACTCACTGCCAATAACTGCTCTTACTTCTTACTTTTTCTGCCAGTCTCGTCTTGTGATGTTAAGGGTTTTGTGGAGACATTTCACTTTGGTTGCAGTGATTTTGCTTTCATGGGTTTTACTTAATGTCAATAAAAGGGGGGATTTTTATGTGAAGTGCTTTTTCTTAAGGACACGAATGAGTCTCGAACCCCCGAACCCGCGATCTCACGATTACGAGTCGGGTAGCCTAACCACTGAACCACTAACACCGCCCTGGGGAATTATGAAACATGAGGTGGAACCAAACAGGACACATTTATTTTTACTATATAGAGTGGTACTATGTGAATAATTGGACAAGCAATGATGCATCTATTTTGAATCATCACTTTCTTGCCTGTATAAGCGATATGAGTCACTCTGGAAACAGAAGGAAGAAATTCCCTGGCACCTATGGTGTAGGGGTTAGACGCTTCGCCATTGTACGAAGAAAATCTGAGCTGGATTCCCATGTGGGGATAATTTTTGTCCCATATGTTGGTCCTTCTGCTAGTACGTCGTATCTCCTCTCAGCCCTAGTTGACCCTAATAAACAGGATCGATACCGGCCTCCTAAAGTATGTACATCGTGTCAGTCGAGCGTAATAAGGGGCACTGTGTTACTGGGGGGGTAAGATTGCTTATTTCATATTTTAAAAGTTGTAATCTGGATTAACTCACCAACTTTTGGGAGCACGTAGTCTATCTTGAGCCTGCCCTCAAAGTCGTCCACTGTGTGTTTGGCGACCTGCAGGGCGTAGTGAGCTTGGCTGAGGCGGTCGTCAGGGGCGTACACTCGGATCTGAGCGAGGATAGAATAAGGCAAGGGGGGGGGGGAAGCCAATATCATATAAATGTGTGTTATAACATCGTTCTTTCTAACTGGAGTCTACTCTTGCATCTGAGGGAGTATGAGTTGTTTCATCGCTCTTTCTAGCAGGAACGTACATTTAGAGCAGAGAGAGCATGAAACAGATAATGAATAACAACGCAGATTTCTGTTATTGTATGAATCACTTTTTTCCCATGTGCCCTTTTCCCTTTAACCTTAGATTAATAGAAAAAAAATTATAAACGATCGTGAGCACAACATTTTAGTATTTAGTTCTTAACGCCCCCTTTAAGGCTTATTTAAGAGGCGGGATCTCAAGACGTAATGTACATCTCTGATAGGACCGAGCCAGATGGATGGAAAGCCTGTAACACTCCCTGCCCCCCCCCCTACCCCTCATAATACCTAAATGCAGAGCACCCCATCGGGGATGCGAACCAGGGACATCTGCTTTTCAGTCCAGCACGACATCAGCTTATAATATGCTAAAGATGTGCCTCGTCAATTGGGATTTAATGTTACATATAAAATGTATTTTCAATAGAAGTATGCAAATTTTTCTAAATCAAATTCGCATTAAACATATACAAACGTAGTA